AACGCGATCGAGTTCCAAAGCTAATAATGGTTTAAAGGGCGGCGTCCTGCACGTGCAAAGTGGAAAAATGACGACGTTAACGATTACTAATCGACGAAAGGCGGTACCTGAGCAACAGAAAGTTCGGATTGTAAATAATCCCATTAATTATGCAGGTATTTTTTCGATGGTCTTCGTCTTTTTGTTATTATTTTTTTATCGTTCGGGTTTGTTCGTATTTTATTCGTATTTTATTTACGGAGTTAAAAATAGAATGTTTTGTTTTGTATTTTGATGGGAAAGGTTTAAAATTTTTTTCTTGGTTAATTAACGATGAGTTAATTTAGATTTTGTTATTAATGAACGTAACGTGTAGTTAGTTTTTAAATTGATGAGTCAGACCTTTTTAAAAAGAAAAATGCTATGTGGAATTGTCTTTTGAATTATTTATTGTGGATTGTGATATCTTTTTTAGATTCAAATCGTACTCCCGCGAAATGAAATGATAAATAAAATGCAAATATAAATGAGGAGTCATTAAATTTACGAGCGGTTGGTGCAATAGAATGAATATTATGTGCGTAGTTTTAAGCACCTGGTTGTTTCTATAAATAATAAATGTAGGTTTAAAATGGGTTAATTCTTTTTGTTAAGTTTCGTTTAGTTAAAATGTTAAGAAATAATTTATAACGTTACAAGTTTCATTTAAAAAATGTTGTGGAAGGTTTCTTTTTATTTAAGGTAATATGTTTATTGATCGATGTAATTTGGTCCAATTGTGGGAATAATAGGAATCTATTGAAATGCCCTTGATGAAAATTGACGAATAGATACAATAATGTAACGTTTATTAATGAAATAGTGCTTGTTTTGATAAACATTTTATCGAAGACGTTTCGTGGTTATTTGAGAAGTATCAATTAGATCCATTTTGATCGACACCAATCAGCTATTTTCGGATTCTAAATCTTCTGGAAAACATACTCTTTGCTGTTATTAATTTGTCTTGTCTTTCTCATAATGCCTCAATGTACTTTTAATTGATTAGTACCAATTTGACACACACCAAACTCTTTCAATAAAAACCTCAACATCAATTTTATTACTTATTTAATTCTCGTTCAGTATCGTATTGATGTTTTTAATGAATTAGACGAATTTTGATTCACACCAGCCACTTATTCTCGTGTTCTGAATTAGAGGATCAACTAATGGTCTTGATACCCATTTGAAAACAATTTATGAATTTAATGTGAAGAAAAGATATGAACGACACCGATAGTCAAATATTTCTAAGGAACCAAAAGTGATTACCATCTATTTGAAAAACGAGAAGAATGATGACCTTTCAGATGTACTAATCGGTATGACTGCTCAAGATGACTTGCCATTTCATATCTTTATTACCTCTCAAGACATCAGAGAAGATTTACAAGCAAAAGGATTTGCAGATATTCCAAAAACTTCAACCACAATATGGAATGCGGTTCTCCTCTACCTTGAGAAAATTAAAGATAAAATAACTTCTGCAATATGTAGTTTAAAGTCTAAAAGTAAATCGTGTTCCTTCATCATTCTGTACCAGCCACCAATCTGTTAAAAGCCAAAAAAGATTATCATTGTGAGTATAGAAAGGCTATAGCTGGAGGCAAGTAGCAGCTTTATAAACACTGCAAAAAATAAAGCTAGTGCAGTGTGGTCAATAATAAATGAAAATAGAGTCAACGATAAAAGGAATCTAAATAGTAATCTTGATCCGAATGTGCTGAATAGGTTTTTCGTTGATACTCCCAATGATATCGTTGAAGGGCTTCCAAGTGGTGTGCTTGATCCCATTTTTATATGTGAATGTGTGGATCAAATGGAGCGCAATTTCATTTTTCAGAAGTTGGTCCTATTAAAGTACGTGAGCTACTCTGTTCATTGAAGAGTAGTCCTACACATGATGTTTTTGCTGCCGTTGACAAAAGTTCTAAATTTAGTATTTCTTGGATTCTCAATTTCCTGATATATTGAAAATAGCTAACGTGGTGCCAGTGCATAAAAAAGGAGATACTACGGACTGCTCCAATTATAGGCCAATAAGTGTACTGCCGGCTTTTTCCGAGGTGTTTGAGCGTGCAATGTATGATAAAATGGTTTCTTATATAGAGGGAAATAACTTGCTTAACCCAAATCAATACGGATTTCGAAAGGGTAGGTGCACGTCGGATGCTGTTGTCAAGTTCGTTAACATGTCCTTGGATTCTTTTGAAAGGGGTCATCATTGCATTGCAATGCTTTTGAATCTGACGCGGGCATTTGACTGCGCGCCACATAAGATCGGCCGAAATGAAGACACTCTGAACAATACGAAGGGTCAGTCTACATTATCTTGTCAGGAGTTATACATCAGTAACAGATAATTGCGGAGTCTTGGATGTGGTGAAATGGGTCCAACCCAAGTTATGGGAATGAGGAAACCACGTTAATAGGATGTATGCGGAGAGATTGACCAAATGGACCATGCTAGAAAAATCAAACGAGCTCAAAAGTTGGACGTCAGGATCGTAGGAAGCTTAAAATCTTGTCAACAATTCATCTCGTGATAAATCATCATAGATTGCTTTGTTGACTTCTTGAACTTTTGCAGCCTTTAGTTTCAGCCTGTTCAACATTTCTGGTATAACCTTGTCCAAATTCTTTCTTCTTTCTCTGGCCAGCTCAACCTTTTTTGTTTTGAAGATAGGTTGTGATGAGCCCTTCTCGAGTGCAGAAAAACCTACTTTTCATCCAAAAATAGAAAAGAAATGTGATGTGCGGATGAATCAGGTAAAATCCCTTAAAGCATCGAGGTTTAACTCTCACTAGTTTTTAGGTTTGTTTTTGTTCCCAACTCCATACTTTTCAAAAGTGCAGAAGAAACAAAACATCCATAAGGTTGCCATTATCACCATTACAACGCAAGGTGCTCAGAGTGAGCTATTCCAACCACACTTTGCTTATTAATGAGGTTATCTCGTTTCGATGCACCAGATAACAGTATTAATCTTTGATTTTCAGATTGTAAGGAGTGAAATTATACTACTATGTATTTCTTCTTCTTCTTATGTTAGTATAAAATTTTTTTTGTTATTCGATTGCCACGGCTGCTTCCATCTCTTCGGTGGTATTCCTGCTTTCCTTTTTCCCGTTGGTCGATTGCGTTTGCATATTTTGGCTATTCGGTCTTTCGCCATTCTGTCCAGATGTTGACTCCATTCGTATTTCCTTTCTTTGTCCATCTGCCAATCTCTTGTATGATGCAACTCTCTCTTTTCGCCTTATTTGTATGTTGGTCTTGTAAAAAAAGTCCTAGGATCGATCTGAAATACTTCATCTCTACCGTTCTTAGTTTCTGCTCTTGTCTTTGTTCCATATATTCCATATATATTTGCATGTTTTTGTTTCTCCAAAATACTCACAGGGTACCGCGATCTTTGGTTTGATTTTTGGTTCACCTCTTTTACTTAGAGTTTCGATCAAGAAGATATGTATAAGACATTTCTCTTATTCCTCGAATCATAAATCTATCTCTATATTATAGAGTCTTTAAGCTGTCTTAATTTCTTCTTTCGAGATGCCTTCGGTTTGAACGTAATGTTCTCGTGCAGTTTGTCCATAATTTTTAGCTAAGCTATAACTGTTATAAAAGTTGTCCATAAATAAAGAATGCCTAACATTTAGGTAATCACCCATGAGGTTCATCACAACCTTTCCCGTGTGCTATACCTTGAAGTTTATGACAAGACTATCTGATTCTGTTAGCCTTTTCCGCAATAATGTTGCTGTTACCAGTGTACAATAAAGTTTCAAATATTTACCATGCTCTTCCAAGACGATTCATCTTCAGTTATATCGTTTGAGTCTCAGAAAAAGCGCGTCTCAACTCTTTATCTGTAAGTTTTTGAGGGATTTTTCTCCTGCCTTTTCCGCTTCTTGATGTCAGAAGACCATACTTCACTCATTGTCAATAAATAAATAACGCAAGTGTAAGAAAAGCGGTTTCTGCCACTACAATACTACCAATGAGTAATAAAACTATCCTATTATACGCCTAAGATGCAAGTGTTTGTAAGAGGTAGTATTGCTCTATTTTAACTAAGAATTCGTAAGACTTTTGTAAGTTTCGTATCCTTTATCTGCTTTTCAGTTTCATTCATACAGCACTACTTGTAATCCTCAAGTTTTATCAAAACTTCCTGCGCTTTCATGGTACAGAACATGATGTTTCAAGTGGTCAATCTTAACAATTTCGTTTTCTTCTCCAAACAATCTGATTCCTTTTCCTTGCCCTAATCGACTTATCCTGATTCGTCTGTTTTCGAGGCTTGTCCACTGTTCTTTGAGTATATTAAGGATTTTTTGGTGCTAGCCTTTCCACCAAACACTCCTTCTTTGTTCGGGCTTGGGAGCAGACAGCTAGGTTTTATATTGAATTCAGCAAAACAATTAATCTTTTTTCTTGTCATGCTGTGCTTCGCTTACTAAATAATTTTCTGCCCTACTAAAAAATAGTAAAAAAAGCACTACTTGATATCGACCTTGATTCAAGGTCATTACATATATTGACCTTCACTTCTATTTACCGATTGACGAACCTCCTCATGGAATCTCAAGGATAAGGATATGCAGTGTGACCTTGATCTTCCAGGAATAGTTTCGACTTACTGTTGTGTCGTTCTTTGAGAAATTTCTTCTCATATCTCCTCTGTTGTTGTGCCTATGTCTAACTGCAACTTTCATTATTATTAAAAGATCAATAAATATCTTTTGTCAAAGTTTGTAACGGGTGTGACATTCTATCGTAACGGGTGTAACATAAACAAGCTTATCTCAAATAAAAACATAAATTCTGGTTGTTAATAAAACTTAATAACTAGAAGTAATCGTATCTCGACTATTATTATGCTCAATAAAATCTCTTTATATTCATTTTCATCGAATTTTTATTATAAACTATAAATTTTTGTTGATATAAAAAATATTTCTTTCTTTTTTAGCTGGTGATTCAGATTCGGCAACCGTAGAACTGCGCGAGGAAAAATACGAGATCCACATAGAAAAATCTCGTGCCGGTCTCGGATTATCGATAGCGGGTGGTCGTGGATCGACCCCATTCAAAGGAGACGACGAGGGTATCTTTATATCTCGTGTAACAGATGGGGGTCCGGCCGATTTAGCTGGATTACGTGTCGGAGACAAAGTGTTAACAGTAAACGGTGTAAACGTAATTACCGTAAGCCATTACGATGCGGTCGAAGTCTTAAAAGCTTCCGGTAGCATTCTCATCCTCGAAATAAGTCGAGAAGTCACCCGATTGGTGAAAGAACCGCAACAGGATGTGCGAAAAATAATCCCGGCCCCGTTAAAAAGTCTTAACGCCGAATCAGTTTCCCCAATTCCGACTCAAAAACTTCTTATTCATACGACTTTAATAAGAGATTCGAGAGGATTAGGATTTAGCATCGCTGGTGGGAGAGGGTCACCGAATTTTAAACCCGATTCGGATGCTATTTATATATCTAGAATTACAGAAGGTGGTGTTGCTTGTAAAGATGGGAAATTATCGGTTGGGGATAAAGTGACTTCTATAAATGGGATTGATTTAAATGGGGCTACTCATGATATGGCGGTGAGTTTATTAACGGGATTGGAGAGATTTGTTCGGTTGGTTGTTGAGAGAGAAATTTCTGGTTTGGAATCGAGTCCTTCACCAAGTCCGGGACCTCAACAAAGTCCTAGATTATTTGGATTGCCAAAACCTTACACGGGATTGTACAGCTCGAACAGTTATTTAGCTAATCGACCCGCTTTTGGATCGTATAGGAAATCAGCTGAAATTGAAAAAACGGTTAGTACCAAATTTATTGATTAACTTATCTTATCTAAGAATACATTGAATGTGAGATCCTGGTTTTAGTCTTTAGATAACGTTTTTTTTTATGATTAGGATAATAAATTTAATTTTTATTTTTAGAATTCCCCATCTCCAACCGAAAAGCAACCACAACAACAACAAAAACCACCCCAACCAAATGGTTTAGATTCAAAACACAACCCACAAAATAAATCTCCGACACCACCCCCTATATCAACGACTCCTCAACCAACGGGAGCTCCACAACCGGCTCCTCGTCGTCTCAATTCAACGTCTGGTTCAACAACAAATCCAATCGATCACCAACAACAACAGGATCATTCAACAACAACCGAAAATCACCATAAGAGGGCGACGCCGACGTCTTCATTGGAAGACGATGCTCAGGTACTGCCGAGGCCCATAACGAACGAAGATTTTCAAGCCATGATTCCAGCCCATTTCCTAAAAACCACATCCGGTAATGCCGCCACGAACAATTCCCGCCCAAATGACAATAAATCCTCCTCTCGCGAGTCCTCGCCGAACTCTTCAGAATGTTGTCCCGCCCCTACGACCGTATCCGTTACAATTCGAAAACCGGACGCGGCGGCGGCCGTCGAGTTTCCGCCGGCGCCGACCGGACCAGGCCGAGTCACCGAGACCATCACGAAGAGCACGTTTACCGAGACGGTCGTGACCAGGATCACGGACAATAAGCTGATGGTGCCGGTTATCATTGAGGTATGACGGTGCTCGTGTGGATGATGGAACTAATTCTACCAAGTTTCATTCGATGATGATGATGATGAGATGAGATTTTTTTTTTGGATGATGGTTTTCTCTTTTTTTGTTGTTTTTGTTTTTTTAGTTACTTTTGGGATTGTTTTAGTTTAAATATAAGCGCACGTAACCTTCTTTCCATACATACAAGCCGTTTTATAGATATTCAACATTTTCTCTAAAACTACAGCTACTACGAATTTAATATTTGAAATAATTTAAAATTAGTTGTAGCTGTAGTTGCAAGTATCGTTGTTGGAGTTCTATGAGATACTTGTATATATATATTTCTTCCTTTCAATTTAAATTTATACGTTGTGTAAATAATGCTTGGTTTGAATTACGTAATGGTTCAAACTCGACATGAATATAAAATAAAACATGAATGTTTTATCGTTTTGTAAGATATCGCGTTGAAATCACGTCGAGTTTGAAACAATTTCAATAGGTTCATCTATGGAATGTAAAGAAATCATCTATGGCAGTAACTTGTGCAGGTAAATCAGATATACAGGGTCGCTGATATGTATGGAAACAGTCAGTTATCTCCTAAAGTAAGATAGCTAGCAAAAAATGTTAAGATACAAAGGTTTTAGTGTTTTTAAAATCTATTATAATAAAGTATACATGATCAGTCATAACGTTATAACGAAACAAAGTTACGTTTTCTTTAATGGAACATCCTGTATATAAACTTAACTTTGAACAAAGCTATTGAATTTTGAAAATCACTCTTATAAATTCCACAAAAATATTTTAGTCGATTATATTTATATATTTGGGATCCATGCTGCAAGTTTAAATTTCAATATTTCAAAAAACTTGTAGAAAATTTCTTACTTGCTTTAAAATAATATATTTATTCGGAATCGGTTTCGACCAGTGTTGTACTCATCATCAGCCGAATTGTCATAAAGTTAAAAATAAATCACAAGACTTCAATAAAATTTGGTTATGAAAGTTTCTTGTTAAGCTAGCTATCTTACTTTAGGAAATAATCGTCCGTTTCCAAACATATCAGCGACCCTGTATAATAGAAAAAATGTAACGAAATCTTTTTATTCAGACTTTCACGCTCATGATAAGGCTGGATTTTTTCCCCGAAGTTTTCTAATTCGCGTTAATTCTTGACGCTAGTTGTCATCTCTGACTTTGTTTCATCAGCAATTCCAAGATCAGTGATGTCATCATTGAAGAGAATGACACCTTAGTTATGTTTCAACAACTTTATTTCCAAACGCTCTTATTTTACATTGTATTGTATAATATTCCAATGTGAATTATGCTTAAAACAGTTTTCTAGCATATCGACCTTGTCATCAAGTATTTTAACAAGTTTCCCCCTTTTCCCTGTATGGAAATCATTTGACTTCGAAAGCCTTTCTGAAAAATTTGAGGAATTGTTTTATAACTGCAGGAATTCATCTGCCAACATATCTTACATAAATAATCCCCATAGTTACAGCCAGATGAAATAAGAATAGTAAGATATTATTTGTGTGAAAAGTCTAGTATATCAACATGTATTTGGACCACTGATACATTGGGACTCCTACAACATGTTTAAACTAGGTGTTATTAACCGTTTGAGTTCTTAGCAGCGCTATCTGATACTGGTCTGGACTATAGGATAGATGGACAAAAATTTGCCAAATGTGTTTCTGAAATCAGGTCTTCGTCTGATTTGAGATTGTCATGCAACAACCTGACTCCTTTCGCCAACCTATGATTTGTCATATATCATGATATATCTGAGATATTCTTCACAATCTGACAATATCTATAATCCACTATATGGTAAGCTATTCAGTCACAAAGACACTCCAAAAGAATATCGTAATATCGAATATTTTTTCATATCTGACCACAAACTTCTTTGCTATAAAACAAAATTTAAAATTCTGGAGGCATAAGACCGATAGAACATTAGTATGTTAAGATTTAAGCATTTCAGTGATCATTCTTGAAGCTTGCAACTCTCTCATTAAGTTAAATATGCTAGCTAACATTGACAACGTCATCCATCTTCCTTAATCTTTACTGAATTAATGTAGAATCCGTTGCATTACAACCACATTTAGTATATCGCAACGATCTTAACACGTTAATAGTCTAACGTCTAATAGTTCTAACTATTATGATAATAAGATAGCAAATCTTATTATCATGAAAAGTATGACATAAATAAATTTCTTCTGCGACTAAAAATCATTGCACGAGTCATTTCTCGAGTAATTGGAAGTTCTCTTCAGTTCGATTATACATAGATAATGCAATGCTTGTAGAAGATAAAATACTGATAATTGATAACTGGATACTGCCCGTGAAAGGCTAAATACTGCTTGTAGAAGACTAGAAGTTACTAGTAAAAAGCTATAATGCTTCCAGAAGACAAAATGCTGCTAATAAAAGTTTAGATATTGATCATAACAGACTAAATACTGCTTGTAGAGGATTGGATACTGTTTGGAGAAGACGAGATTCTATTGTAAAAAGCTAGAAAGTACTAGTAAAAAGCTATACTGCTTCCAGAAGACAAAAAAATGGTAATAAAACTTTAGATATTGGTCGTAAAAGACTAAATACTGCTTATAGAGGATTAGATACTGTTTGGAGAAGACGAGATTCTATTACAAAAAACTAGAAATTACTAGTAAAAAGCTATACTGCTTCCAGAAGACAAAAAAATGGCAATTAAAGTTTAGAGATTGGTCGTAAAAGACTAAATACTGCTTGTAGAGGATTAGATACTGTTTGGAGAAGACGAGATTCTATTACAAAAAACTAGAAATTACTAGTAAAAAGCTATACTGCTTCCAGAAGACAAAATACTGGTAATAAAAGTTTGGGTATTGATCGTAAAAGACTAAATACCGCTTGTAGAGGATTAGATACTGTTTGGAGAAGACGAGATTCTATTGCAAAAAACTAGAAATTACTAGTAAACAGCTATACTGCTTCCAGAACACAAAATACTGGTAATAAAAGTTTGGATATTGATCGTAAAAGACTAAATACTGCTTGTAGAGGATTAGATACTGTATGGAGAAGACGAGATTCTCTAGCAAAAAACTGAAAATTACTAGTAAAAAGCTATACTGCTTCCAGGAGACAAAATGGGAACAAAAGTTTAGATATTGATCGTAAAAGACTAAATACTGCTTGTAGAGGATTAGATACTGTTTGCAGAAGACGAGATTCTATTGCCAAACATTGGAAATTACTAGTAAAAAGCTATACTGCTTCCAGAAGACAAAATACTGATAGTAAAAGTTTAGATATTGATCGTAAAAGACTAAATATTGCTTGTAGAGGGTTAGATAATGTTTGGAGAAGACGAAATTCTATTACAAAAAACTATAAATTACTAGTAAAAAGCTATACTGCTTCCAGAAGACAAAAAAATGATAATAAAAGTTTAGATATTGGTCGTAAAAGACTAAATACTGCTTGTAGAGGATTAGATACTGTTTGGAGAAGACGAGATTCTATTGCAAAAAAGTAGGAATTACTAGTAAAAAGCTATACTGCTTCCAGGAGACAAAAAATGGCAATAAAAGTTTAGATATTGATCATTGATCGTAAATGACTAAATACTGCTTGTAGAGGATTAGATACTGTTTGGAGAAGACGAGATTTTGTTGCAGAAAACTGGAAATTACTAGTAAAAAGATATATTGCTTCCAAAAAACAAAATACTGCTTGTAAAAGACCAGATACTGTTTGTAGAAGATGAGATTCTAATTGTAATAAGCCTAAAAATTACTAGTAAAGAGCTATACTGCTTGCAGTTGAAGACAAAATACTGGTAATAAATAATTAAACACTGCTCGTAAAACACTAAATACTGTTTGTAGAAGACTAGGTACTGCTTGCAAAAACGAGCATGTAATTGCATAAAATTAGAAACTACTAATTAAAAGTTATACTGCTTGCAGAAGATAAGATAGTGGTAATAGATAGCTAGATACTACTCGTAAAAGACTAAATACTTTTTATGCCTTAGCACCAAAGAGTTAAGTGTTGTTTGGATATTCTAAAATTAATTCTGGCTGATTTTATCGATAAGTAATAATCGATTTCCTTAAATCCAATCTTTAATAGCCCGTAACATAACGTTTTATTCACTGTCATACCAATGTCGCTTTTTCTTTTTTCCTGTCTTCTAAAGGTAGACAAATTTGTTAGGTACTGTAGAGTTGGGTGACTTGACTGCAATTTTAACATCAATTTAATAATATCTGCCATACTCATAAATATATCATAAAACAAAAAATATGGCGCTATGCCATTTTTTGCAAAGAACAGAACCCGTATAAAACGTTTTTGAAAAACTCAAAAAAAACTGTGTTTCTCAAATCACCCTATATGTTAAGTTAAAAAAAATATAAGCATAAATCGGTTTAAAGTAAAGCTGTCCTACAGGTGACTTGACATCAAATAAAAGAGTATTGTATAGGGTTTTCAGTTTTCGATGTAATGTCGATTTTGATATCTCGGTAATATTTGAAGCCTCCACCAATGTCCATCTACCAGTACGTATATTTGTCAAGACTTCTAATTCTTCTCTACTAAAGTCGTAGTATTTTCGCTCCTCCACAACGCTCCCTTATATTTATGTGGCATTTTGTCAAATCACCCAAAAATCTGTAGCAAAAATATGAAAAATCATTTTGTAACATCAAAAACAAAAATCAACAAAATTGTCATTCAGAATCTCTTAACAAAACAATAAACAATTGTAAAAAAATTTTTGCATGTGCTTTGCTGATCTGGATATCTGAGAATGACCTTAATTATATAACATATCAAAAACCATGGTTTTCTTGCCTTTTATTCAATGTTTTTTAGGCACCAAATAAAACATCTGTTGATAACTTTTTTCAACTAAAAACGTTATTTCATCATTGTAGTACAGGTTAGAAAATGTTTTGAGTTTACCTAGAGTTAGCAAATTTTTCGTCTTCATTTAAAACTAATTTTCGTGGAAATCTTGAATCACTTTTTCAGGTTCTCAGTTTTTGTCATGATGTTTTAGAATTCGTGCAACGTTCTCTAACTATCCAAGTTTCTTCTTTTAAAACACAAAAAGATATTTTGCAGATTTTATATATTTAGCTATCTATGAGTATTGTGGTATCAATATATATAGTGTGTCCATAAAATCATGGTCACTTTTTACTGGTCGAGTCACAGGAAAGTAACATATTGATTAAAACTAAAAAATGTCTAAAAAAACGATATTTGTATAATACTTGCACAAGTTATTTGTCACTTTGTATACTCAAATAAATAATTTTATGTATTGTAAAAAACTAGCAAAACTATGACTTGTCTAGTAAATAGCTTATTACGCACTTTCTTGATATACTCAATTATTAAAATTGAAGAGAGGAAAACACTTCAATTTTAAATAAATTTATTTCCACTCTTCAATTTCTACATTTTCTTGCTACTAATTAATCTCTTCCCACTCTCTTTACCAATCAAAAAAATGCATGTACATTTAAGCTTCGCATCCTTGTATAATTATCAATTATTTGCTTCTACTGTATTGTATTGACTTGTTTGTTAATTTTTTTTGACTCAAACCTACTACTGCAGAGCATCGATACCACACACAGGTAAAGGTCGTATCTTACCGCAACGAAACCCAACTTATCCCTAAAGCCTCCATTTCCCTTTCGCTATTTACAACTATTTACAACATTTACATCTTTATTTTGATTTTACACACAACGTTTTTAGATTATTTACCTTCTCTTTAGAAACATTTCATATTTTTTTAGAGTTTAATTTTTATTTACTTTGTACACACTGGTTTCTCATTTTTTTTTTATTTACCATGTAATATATTATAATTTTAAGTCTTAATTGTTGCTACTTTTCGAAAGCAATTAAATTAAAACGAAATAAATATATATATATTTTTATAAAAAATCGAAAAGTAGTTAGGACGCGTTTTTTCTCAGGATGTCATCTTGAACAAAGCCAGCGGTTCCCTTGGATTCAGTATTATCGGTGGAACGGATCATTCGAGCATTCCATTTGGTGCCAAGGAACCTGGAATATTTATTTCACACGTAAGTACAACATAATTTAATTGATTTAAATTATAATTGTATTAATTTTTTAGATGGTTCCTGGAGGTGCAGCTGCAAATTGCGGGAAATTACGCGTCGGTGACCGAATCATCAAAGTGAACGGAGTCGATGTGACCCAAGCGACGCACCAAGAAGCCGTTATGGCCCTTTTAAAACCCGACGAACAAATTACTTTAACAATACGACACGATCCTTTACCAGACGGGTTTCAGGTACATTTCTTTTAATTTATTTTTACTCATTTAAGCCGTTTTAATAAAACCCACCGTTTATTTTTCCTTTTTAAAACAATAACCTCTATTTTATTATTAAACCTACAAGCACTTACAAGTAGAGTATTTAATCACCACCGTAAGTTTTCTTATTCCTTAATTAAAATTAATGTATATTGTTATATTAACATTTTTATTTTTTTTAATTTAGGAATTTACAATAGTAAAAGCGGAAAACGAAAAACTCGGTATGCACATAAAGGGCGGTCTTCAGGGGCAACGCGGAAATCCTTTCGATCGCACCGATGAGGGCGTTTTCATCTCGAAAGTGAACACGGGCGGTGCCGCTCGGCGAGATGCGCGATTACGAACCGGAATGCGATTAATTGAAGTTAATGGGAAATCGCTTTTGGGGGCGACGCATCAAGAAGCGGTCAATGCGTTAAGATCTTGCGGAAATCAAATCCGACTGGTTGTTTGTAAAGGTTATGATCGGGCGGAAGTCGAAAAGGCCATCGCTGAAGGTCGATTAACAAGAGCTGGATCAGTTAGTAGCCGATCACAAAGTGTTAATTCGTTAGATTTTGTTGACGAAGATAGTATTCAGGTAAAATATACATAATACATCTATTTTATATACAAGTGTTCATTAAGTATGGAACAACAAGAAATTTAAAATATGAATTTGACTACACAAAATCTTTTGTTTACAAAATTTTCAACTGTTTAGCTTTCAAATTAAGTTGTTTTAAGTAACACCACTAGTCAAATTTGACATCATTCGAAAGCATATTTTATTCTGCATTCGAAAGTGTAATTACTTTTATCAAAATATTTTCGAAATTTATCAATTTTTCAATTTCTCTGTCAACAATATAGAAATGGAATTATTCAGCATTATTTTCCTAACTATAGTTTACACCAAAATATTTTTCAGATAAAACTTGTTAAGTATTAAACAAGGAACAACTTTTCTTGGCACCATTTTTTAAAATTGGACAGCGTCAAATAAATAATGTTGAGAAAACGGGATTTTCGTTTTCATCTCTCTAAAAATATAAGATTTCTCAGAATAGACAGCCTCAAACTATTGAAAATTGTTTGGTGCCTGTCCATTTTTATCACAGAACACTAATGACAGCTATCACAAGCACAGAAGCCGCTTGGTGACTCGTTTTACGATTATAGAGGCTGTTTCTGTAAGTCGTGGCATAAATTTAATCACTAAAACTAGCGACAATATGATGACGATTCGCGTAAAAATTTTTGAAGAAAATAATGTAGAATTTGATTTTGTACTTTTAAACTGGTTTTTATTTTATATAGAATTTAAGTCTAACCAATTTCGGTTCTTGGCCATCTTCAGAGACTCTACAAATAGATTAACATCTCTCATCTTATCCATTTTACAAATAAGTTTCTTAATATTTCTTTTTGTTTTGTTAAAAAAGATCACATATCAAAGTCGAAATCAGATTATTAGTTACTAATTTACAAAATTAAAGTTTAAAAAGTTCTAAAATGAAATTAAGGACGGAGTGTTACAAGTTTACAGGTTAAAAATTAACACGTTGACTGCCATGAGAAGCGTAACTTGATGCACAGCACCAGTTGATTCTCATGCCTATTTAATTTTAAAATTGTTCCGACCAGACTATTGCGGCAGTCAACGTGTTAAGAACGCTCTTTTTTAACAAAAGAAATATTAAGAAAAATTCAGAAATCATCATGTGGCTTAAAAATCGACGATTTTTTTTGAATCAATATGAAATAACCTAAAAAACACGTTAGAAGAAACACGTTAAAAGAAATTGCGGAAAAGTGCTAAACACTAGATTATCTTCAATTATAAAACTTCTATTATATGAGAACTAACTTCAAGTTTAAAATGTCAACCTCAATTTCGACATATTTGTAATCTTCATTAAAAATCCTTTAAAATGAGTACAAACACGACATATTTGTCTTTAATATTAATGAAGTTATGATCAAACTTCCGGTTAAGAATGTCAACGTCAATTTTGACATATTTGTAATCGTCGTGAAAAATCCTTTAAAATGAGTCCAAACATGATACGTTTAATTCCAATATTACTCGAGATATAAGCAACTTCAGGTTT